TAAGCTGAAAATGTAGCTAGCTATTTAGCTAGTACCAGCCTAGCTAAATATTTAACTAGCTTGATGCTAGCTAAATATTTAATTTGTTAAATAAACATGCAACACACAAAATTGAAAACAAGCAAAAATAAGTTCAAAAATAAAGAAAATCCAAAATTAGAAAACATGCAATGAACTTAACAAAAAGGCCACATTACCACGTCCCCTCACACTTTAATAAGGCCCGTCCCGGACGATCCATAGTCCTAAGGGACAGCACATTCCCATCTGATCTTAAAAAAATAAAATAAAATCCGTTAAAACACTGCTCACAACCCCGCAGTCCTACCAGCAACGCCAGATTCTGTGGAAACCAAACAGACTGCGGCGATTGTGAGCAGGGCTTTAAAAAGTTTAATTGATTAAAATCCAATAAAGAAAATCCAAAATTAGAAAACATGCAATGAACTTAACAAAAAGGCCACATTACCACATAAACATAGTTAAACATTAATCTTTAGAAAATAAAAAGAAGTTTGGGTGTGCCTCAGTGGTGCAGTGGGTGGCCTTAGTCCTGGATTTGGCCAAACCGGAGTTTGAATCCGGCCTGTGGTTGCATGTCTCTCCCTCTCTCTATTTTTTTTAAGATCAATGAAGGTGATATCTGTTTGAACAAAAGTTCATGTGGAGGATTCAGAATCTGTATTGCTTTGCTCGTTGTTGACTGTCCAGGTTGAACAAGAGATCTCACTGGTCCAGAGAAAGATGTCTGACCTGGAGTCAGTTCTCCAGCAGAAAGATATCGAACTGAAGGCCTCAGAGACTCAAAGGACAATCCTGGAACAGGACTTGGCAACCTACATCACAGAATGCAGTGTGAGTAACTGTAGTTCAACAAACTGATTTCTGTTTGTTCAATATTTGCAGTTTTTATGCCTGAAATGGCAAACAAATGAGTATTGAGTATTTGCTAAACATGTTAGCTTAAAAATGGCTGTCAGGGGGCAGTGACATCCAAATCTCTGTCTTCGGTTCCCAAACTAACCCATCTGACTAATTTTAATTCCACTTTAGAGTCTGAAGCGCAGTTTAGAACAAGCACGGATGGAGGTGACCCAAGAAGATGATAAAGCCCTCCAGCTGCTCCATGATATCCGAGAGCAGAGCAACAAGCTTCAGGAGATCAAAGAGCAGGTAGGACAACAAAGCACTGAACACATGATGGTTCACCATCATGCTGAGGGTAAGCAATCCCTCTGCAGCAAAGCCGGAAGTTTCCTTTTGTTTCTAAGAAAAGAAATTGATCCATTATCCAGTCCCCAGATGTGCAAAACCGGTAGAGATATTCCAGCAGGACCTGCAGTGAAACGGTTTTACTGTGAATTCATAATACTCTTTTCTTGATTTTCTTTGAGTACGAAATTTATGAAAACCAAGTCTGATCATCCTTCTACACCATGACCATGTTCTATTCTGTTGTTGGCACACAAAATACCAGTTTGGGTTGGGACTTTATGTAATCTGGAAAAGTTCAGGTCATTTTATAGAGTCAGGTGAAGTTCCATGTCCTGCATGTCCATGTCCTGCATGTCCATGTCCTGCATGTCCATGTTCTCCAGGTCCATTTTCTTAAGGTCAATGCCCTCCATGTTTACATACTATAGGTCCATGCCCTCCATGTTAATGCACTATAGGTCCATGTCCTGCAGACCCATGTCCTGCATGTTTATGTTCTTAAGGTTTATGTCCTCCATGTCCTTCAGGTCCATGTCCTGCATGTCCATATCCTACATGGCCTGCATGTCCATATCCTGCAGTTCCATGTCTTATTGGTCCATGTCCGCCATGTCCATGTCCTCCAGGTCCATGTCCTCCATGTTCATGTACTATAGGTCCATGTCCTACAGGTCCATGTCCTCTAGGTCCATGTCCTGCAGGTCCATGCCCTTCAGGTCCATGTCCCTCAGGCCTGTTTTCTATGGGTCAATGTCCTGCATGTCCTACAGGTCCATGCCTTCAGGTCCATGTCCTACAGGTCCATGCCTTCAGGTCCATGTCCTACAGGTCCATGTTCTCCAGGTC